ACACACACACACAACACAGAAATCTTCAGCAAGAAATAACCAACCTGTGTACTTCCCAGCTAGTGTGACAATAGCACCCTCTTCCCCCGGCCGCCGGTGGTACACCAGTTCACCCCCAAGCACTAATCGTGAAGTCACGCTTTGCAGGAAGTGAGCGACCACAATAACTGTGGAGAAAGAAACACAAGACTGTTTTCATGGTTGAAAAAGTGAGTCCGCTCCTCCCCTCATCCTCTTTTGGCAGAGCTGGGAAACTTGCCACCCTCTCGAGATTAAGGAACTACAACAGACATCATCCCTTACTGCTTGGTCACGCTGGCTAAGGTGGATGGGAGTTGTAGTCCAGGAAGATCTGGAGGGCTGTACGTTGCACTTCCGGCTTAAAAACTGCATTTATGTTCTACTCAGTAAGGGAACACCCCTTCTCGAATGCCTTCACCAGCTCACTCAGTTTTCACTTCATTTCCCACAAATGACACAAAAGCTTGTATAAGCTGTTTCGAGAGCTACGTTGTAGGGGAAAGGGGGGGGGCATCTCCATGTACGAATTTCCAGATGCCATTTATGGCAATCAGTACTCTCTTTTACCCTCCTGTCATGGGTAAAAGCTCTCCCTCAAAGGGCATTTTTGAAGTTCATGGAGGGGGTCTAGAAATCCCATCTGTCTAGCATGTGCTGGCTGCTAGGCAACAGAGCATCTAAGGCAGTGGTCCCCAACCGTAGGCCTCCAGATGTTCTTGAACTACAACTCCCAGAAGCCTTCACCACCACCTCTGCTGGCCAGGATTTCTGGGAGTTGAAGTCCAAGAACATCTGGAGGCCCAAGGTTGGGGAACCACTGATCTAAGGTACTACAGCCACACTAGTCATGGTTGCTAGGCAACAGAATAGCTATTCTCCCACCCTAGTCATGGTAGCTAAGCAGCAGGTGTTTCCCCCCTCCAAGTCATGGTTGCTAGGCGACAAGAGAGGGACTAAGGTATACTTCCAGTCATGGTTGCTAGGCAGCTACTACTGCCCTTCCCTCCATCCTAGTCAAGGTTGCTAGGCAACTGAGTGCCTGTAGTACTCTCTGCCCTCCAAATCCAGAAAAAAAGGGCTTCATTCTCATCTAGGCCACAAATTCACAACACCAGTGTGGTGTGGGGTCTGTCGCTGACTTAACAGAACTCTATGGTTTGACAGAACTCTATGCTTTGTAGGGGTCACCTTTTCTCCCTCAGACCTCCCCATGGATGGCAACGGACCTGGAACTGGATGGGAACAGCCATATTTTTTTAAAATAGAGGAATTGCCCAAATAGGCACTTCAGTTTTTTATTTTTGGAAATTTTGGGGTGGGGTGGGAGGTCGAAAGTTTTCTGAGCCTCTCAGCTGAAAGCCACAGCACCCAAATGCTCTTGGGGACCATATCATGCCTGTCATCATCCTCTCCTAGGGTGCCTGGCCATGCTCTGCTTCTGCTCAAGAGATGGTAGCCTAGCTCCCATTAATACTTGCCACAAAAGAGTTTTGTCTCTCGACCAAAGAATTCCCCTCAAACATGGCACAAAAAGGCAGATGGGCTTAGAAATCCTGCACACGTAATGGAAGAGTCCCTTGCCTGGCATTTTCCCTTCAGGGCTTACTGCTCTTTATTAATTTTTTACCCTAGAAATCATTATTATCAATTTTTTTTGCTTCACTTCCTACAAATGTCCATGGGAATATACAACCCCCAGGAAGGGAAGAGAGATGGTGAGCAGGGAAAAAATAAATAGAGGTATTCCTTTTTCTGGGCTTGCCAACACAATTCTCTCTCATAGGGACTGTGAATATAAATCTTTGGTGGATTAAGGAGGGGGGGCATACCTGTATTTGCCCTGCTCTGCTATGGGGTACACCCTGCCCCATGCTGAAATTCAACAACAGATTCTGCCTGTACAGTCTCTCGGCAAACAGGAATACTGCGTTTCTGGCTTGTTCCCAAGGGCTTTTTATTGGGTAGCAAAATGCAGAGATATTTGTTTTGGCAGTTTGACGTGAGGGGACCATCATATCATAGTAAAAGTGTTGATCATCATCTTAGAACTGTAGAATTGGAAGGGACCCTATGGATCATTGAGTCCAGCCCCTGTCATGGAGGCCCGGTGGAGGAATCGAACTCCCAACTTCTGGCTCCACAGATACTTAAACCACTGAGCTATCCAGCAGTTCCGCCACCTTCTCGCACGTGGTATCTACCACCGGAATAAACAGTTTCTGAAACACACCATATTTTCCCAAGAGAGACAGAAGAGGGGCAAACCTCGCATCACAGCTGTGTGCATACGAACCCACCCCTCCATCTCTCAAGCTGGTTGCATTGGCGGCTCAAGAATACGAGAAGAGAAAAAACTCAGCTTAAGAATATGAGAAAAACCCAAAGAAAGCAAGGGACATCAGGAGACAAACGGCTATAGACTCTCCTGCCCGGCTGGCACTTACTCGACTCACTGACCAAATCGGGATTACCCAAAGTTAAGGTGGCTGTGTAGTCATCGCCTCGGTATTCGGTATCAAACTGCCAAGTGACAAACTTGGACTTCTGTGTCTAGAAAAGAGAGAGAAACACGGCTGGGGATGAGCCTAAACCAATATAAAATAGGTTTTGAGCCAGGTTTTTGCAGAGGTGGTACATCTCAGAAAGACTACCCAGTGTGGACATGCAGGTGCTCACGGTCCCCATTGACAGGCCTCCCCTCAGTCCATATAAACAAAGAAGGAGCAGAGGTTTTGTAAAGCTAACAGCTATTGATTGCCCATTCAAGAACAAACCGCCCTCAACGGCTTTACATTATAACAGGAATAGCTCGCAACCATATATTGTTCCCAGAACATCCCATTTCTCTGCAACAACAATGCCGGCGTCACCTGGAACACAGCCTTTGTCCGTATCCGCTCTGCCAGAAGGTGCAGCGCTTGAGCGTTGAGACTTCCGACGTTGTTGATGTCGCCAATAAGTGTCGGGAATGCCTGCGATGGAAACGGGGAGGAAAGTGAAATGAGCCACAGAGCCTGGGTCAAAAGCGATCAACTGCTTTTCAAAGAGGGTGTTACCATTCTAAGAAGAATCTGCTACTCAGGTACTATCTTAAAAACCACTGCTGAATTATTATTATTTTATTTATTATGGCCAATGACCATTATTTAGAAAAAACCACTGCCGTTGTTCCACTGTGTTAGGAATGAGGGTCGAGCAGCAGAGAGGAGTTTGAAAAGGACCCACCCATTTAAGGTCCCCCCCGGGGTAAAATTTGGAAGTAAAAACATTAAGGGTAGGTATTCACCACATCAACCATAATTATTAATAATTATGTACCTTCAAATCAACTTATGACAACCCTGCCACTTTTTTTAAGGTATAAAATCCTCAAATGTGGTTTACCGATCCCTTACTCTTGTGGTGCTCTGAGACCACACCGCTTGCTCAAAGCCACTCAGGTGACAAGGCATAAAAACCCTATTATTAGATCCAAAAAAAGGGGGAGACTATAGCTCCAAGATGTAGAAAATATACTGTTCTTTATTCCAGTATATAATGCCCAACGCCTTTCAGCCTATCTGTCTTCTTTAAGGGCTATATCACATAAAAAGAATTACAATTGCAACCTCATAACTTACTGCGGACAACATCACATGCATAAATTCATGTATCCATAATCCTACAGCACATCCATACATTTTTAAAACTGTATTATTATGCCGGGACATCAGTTTCCCCTTTTTAAGACCTAATATTTCAGTGGATGTACCCGTTCCTTTCATTATATTGTAAAACCCCACTAGCTCCCGCATCATCCAGGAAGACCTTATCCAGGGAGGCCCCGGAAAGTTCAAAATCTTGACCTGTGGCTCTACATCCCAGAATATCAGCCCACAGAGCTATTCCAGTTCCCACTCTTCTTCATTCTTATTCCCTGGACTGCTACAATACTCCATTCTGGAAAACTCTGTGTTTCTGCTATTTCAATACATAAATCCTATGCGGAGCAGTCTTTCAAAACAGTCTGGAAACTTCAACCAATACAAACCTACTCAATAAGCTCAGCTTTCATTTTTTTAAAAATCCCATCAGTCATTCCATAAAAGAACATAGGGCTCCTTTGTAACAGACACAAAAAGGCCGCTTTCCCCACCCCACCCCGAAAATAACATTTATACATGCACAGAAATTCTGTTTTATTTTGATTATATATAATAAATTTTAAGAACATAAAATCTGCAGCAGCCTTGCTTAGGAGCAACTGTAATTTAATAGAAATAATTCTGCTGCTGGAAACTGAAGGTTGTAATAATTCTATTGAACATACATTTTGCTGCCTTGGTAGAAACGATTTTTCTAAGCACCTTAGGAATTTTGTCTTTATGACTTCTTTATAACCAGCTTGGCACTGTTTTATCTCAACTGCTAGTTTCAATTTTAGCTTTCTCATACATGGCTCATGGCTTTATTCAGTCTGATTTGTTTTATTATTTTTCTCATTGTTTCTGCCTATTGTGTAGTTTGCATGCAATTTGTTTTATTAGTGTTTTGTGCTCTGCTGCTGTGCTCTAACTTTGTAAGCTGGCCACAGAACTTCACATTGGCCAGGGTAAGAAATATCAGCCAATCGATAAATACATGAATGTTGAAGGGATAAAAACACACAGAAAGAAGGAAGGAAACAGATGACAGAGGATAGAAAAATTCACAACAATTGAATAAGAATTTGGATTTATTTGGGCCAGGAGGAAAGCTGCACTTAAGAGTAAAGCTTTATATCCTTGGTGGTGGAAGCAAGTTTCATTGCACAAGTTTTATTATTTTATGTATGATATTTTCCCTTTCAACACTGATGGTTGTGTTTGGTACAAGCCACCATTTTTTAAATGATGTTGAAGAGAACTTTTACGTTGTATTAGCATGTTCAAGGAGGACTTGTGTGTTGGGGATCATATTCTGGAAGTCCAAAATTAGAGGAGAAGAGAGAGGTCACATAACCCTCGTCCTGAGTAGTTACAAAGGAACTATGGAAGTAGTAAAATAATTAGCAGTTACTTGTGAGGAAATCAAATGTGAAAGCCTATGACGATTAATCTCGACAAAGGCCGTGGGAACCTTTAGTGTTTACTGCTGATGCCTGTTGTCCAATCAAACCTGTTCGAAGTGTCCAGGCCCATGTTTTAGAAATTTGTCAGGAGGCGTATTGAGGTGCCAGATTTCAGTAAAGTGGCGATTACCCCTAGCAGGAAAATCAATGCATGCTCACCCCAAGTCTAAATTCCAAAAGGTGATTTTTTAAAATAGATTTTTGTACAAAGCACCATAAAGAAGTAAAATAATCTGGATTTCTTTTAAGCAATCTTTTCGTATAGGATGTACCCAAACTGAAATATTCCTTTTCCACCTGTCCTGTCCTCCCAACATGATAAATTTCATCCAGCACCCTATCTGGTGGCCAGTTTTTTAAAAGTCCTTTTAATACCAAGAGCTTCAGAGACCTGACAAATGAGCACATGGGAGATCTTCCATTCAGATCCCAGACTGTGAAAATGCAAATGTTTCAGAGTTGCACTCATTAGCCAGTGTGTGTGTACGTCGGCATGTCAATTCTGACTTGTGGCTACCTTTTCCGGGCGGTACTCAGAAGTGCTATACCCTTCCCTTCCTCTAGGGGGAGCCCTGGGACTGTGCAGCTTGCCCAAGGCTACCCAGGCTGGCTCTTCTCCCAGGAGGGACCGTTGGGGGGAATCGAACTCACAATCTCTGGCTCCACAGCCAGAGACCTAAACCATTGTGCTAAGAAGGGATAAAACCGTATCTTTTTAAACTGGCCTAAGATATTTAAACTGCCTTGTTGTGTTGTTTTTCCATGCCTACGGAGTCGATGTTGATGGTTTTAATGCGTGCAGCAGATTTTAATGGTTTTTACAGTGGGGTTGGTGTTGTGTGAGTCTACGATTTTAAGTTTGGTTCTGCTGATTTTTATTATTTATTTTATTCATTTATTCCTCCCCATAGGGGACCCGAGGTGGCTCACACATATTAAAACCCTACAAGAATAACAAGTTAAGATGCCGTACGATAAAATATATTTTAGAATCAATCAAACAGTACTCCACATTAAAAAAACAAATTTGAAAACATTTTAAAATATCTAAATTTCAAAACATAGAGCAGTCCTCTGGATGAAGACTGTAAGTGCTACTTCATTGTTGAAATGTGAAGTGTAAGCATAATAAATTATAACAAATCGAACCCCTGTGAGCGCTAGTTTCCACTTGTACACCACCCCACAGTGCTAGGGCAGTCTCTGGGTACAGTGGTGCCTCGCTTAACGATTACCTCATTAAATGACGAAACCGCTTGACGATGAAGTTTTTGCGATCGCTTTTGTGATCGTAAAACGATGTTTAGACAGGGAAATTTCGCTTGACACTTGACGATGATCGGTCCCCTGCTTCAGTAACCAATTTTTCGCTAGATGACGATTTTTAAACAGCTGATTGGCGGCTCTAAAATGACCGCCCGCTGTGCAAAATGGCTCCCTGCTCTGTTTTCAGGACGGATTCCTCGCTTTACAGGCACCGAAAATGGCCGCCCCTATGGAGGATCTTCGCTGGACGCTGAGGTATTTAGCCCATTGGAACGCATTGAACCAGTTTCAATGCATTTCAATGGGCTTTTTCATTTCACTTGACAAGGATTTCGCTTAACAGCGATTTCAATAGAACGAATTATCCTCGTCAAGTGAGGCACCCCTGTAGTTTATACTTGTGCAAACACTTTGGCCCCCAGCAAACTGGGTAACGGTGAAAAAAGTTATCAGGCTGTTGCTTAATAATATCTAAGGAGGATCGTAAGGGGATCAGGATTCAACTCCCTCAGGGGCTGAGATTCAAATCACCTTCTGGCCTACTTCTGAGGACTGTTGTGAGCACGCAGTGTGAAGGAGGACCGATGTACCCTTTTCCAACTCATTGGCCGAAAACCACGCTAGGAGCATGACTAACAAGCCAAGCAGTCACACTGCAGCAATTCAAACAGGAGGGCAGCTTGCGAAGGAGGACCGATGTACCCTGTTTCCAACTCATTGGCCGAAAACCATGCTAGGAGCATGACTAACAAGCCAAGCTGTCACGCTGCAGCAATTCAAACAGGAGGGCAGCTTCCAAATCTCTACCCTTCCGCTCTCCCTGAACCCTGCCGAGAAACTGCGCTCCACTCACCTCTGTCGGACTCAGCAGCTGGTCCCCTGTATAGGTTGCATTGAGGTGATAGCTGGACTGCCCCACGGTGCTCATGTGAAGGGTGTGGGTCACCTGGAAGGAAAGAGCATGTTCAAGCAGGGGCAGGGGACCATGGCTTATTGCCAGCGGCCGGCTGTCAGTGTGGAGATAGACATCTTTTTGATGGAAGAAACCTCAGCAGATCCCGGGACATGGAGTCCCACAAGAGAGAGGGGGGGAAAGCAATGCTTGGTAAATCCGGCAAGAAAACTCGCAGGACGAATGACGAAAAAGAGATACACACCTGAAGATGGCTACTGAGGGATTTATTGACGACGAGTTTGACACCTTCCATCTGCTGCGGGAAGACCTCTGGAACAGAGAAAGCCGAGAAGGAAATAAAGTCAGACTCATTACTAAATGTTGCTTAAATAAAATAAAATAAAAAAGAGGAGGGAAAAGCAGCAGATAAAACCATCCCGGTTATCCCAATTTTTTTCTTAAGACTGCATTACTCCACCAGTGTCAACTTCCAAATGCTGCAGTCGAAAAGAAAATAACTGTGTTCTATCAGTGACGGGCAACAAGGGGCCCCTTTGAGGTTGATGGATCACAACTCCCATGATCCTTCCCCTGTTCACAATGCTGGCCATGGCTGACGGAGGCTGCCGTCCAGCATCCTATGGAGGGCTTAAGTTGCCTTTCCCTGACGCGGACCCATCATCCATCCAGAATCTATGTTTGCTGGGCAACTTACATTAATGCTAAAATAGTTACATTAGTGGCTCTCTAGTACATTTGTTCCACACTTTGCATGGAACAGGGGGTGGAAAATCACAGACTTACATTAATGCTAAAATAGTTACATTTGTTCCACAGTTTGCATGGAACAGGGGGTGGAAAATCACACCTAACAGCAGCAGTTCAAAACCCCATGATCTCCATTCTTACTAAGAGCCCTGCAAGGCAGGCCAGGTACACTTTAAACGTCATGGATAGAGATGAAAGGACCACATACTCATGTAATTCACCCCAAGGCCACCCCATAAGTTTTTTTTTTAAAACATGGACTGCTGGGCTCACAAAATCTCCCCAAACTTACCAAGTTTTGGCCATAGGGTTGGGAGTAAAGGAAATTTTATATAACATATTAAGATAGTCCTGGTGTCAAATCCAGCCTTCTGTGCCGTACAACAAAACCTATCGTCCTAACTTTCACGCGTTGGCTAGAAAGAGCAGTGGTTATACTAACGTCTCGGGAAAAGGCAAAACTGAGATTGGTTACTTATTTAGATAATTCCTGATAAAATACAGCCAGCGGGGAGTAAAGGCAGTTCTGCGGTGTTGGAAATCGGCAGCTGGAAGCCTCTGTGTCAAAACTGCCCCGCTGAGCGGCTCACGTATCCCTCCATAATACAGTGATTACTGTTGGGAGTGTTCTGGGTTCAAATCCCGAGGGAGTCAAGAAACTTACGGGGTCAACTGGGGCCAGGCTCTCTCATTCCGCCTGGTCTACCTGGCAGGGTTGTTGTGGGAGGAAAAGCAGGGGAGAGGAGGAGAAGACCCCCTCAAGTTCCCTGGACAAAAAAAGACAGGCTAAAAAGGGAGCAAGGAAACAAGCAAGCAAGCAAGCAGACAGACCAACCATCGTCTTACCTTTGCATTTTCTGTGAAGCTCATCGAAGCTGCCCGGGTTGGTGAGCGGCTCGCCCCGGTGGGGTCCCCTTCGCAGGCCATGCATAGGGAAGAACACGTTCCCCATGGCCCCCCCTTTTTCAAGGCCCCACCCCAGGTGGGGTCAGTGTCGGCCCCTGGGGTTTTTAAAGCCCTCTGTGGACATCACCCCCCTCCCACCCACCCTGCTCGCTCCTGGGCCTGGCTTTGGATTCAAAGGGAAGGGCGCTCCCTCGCTATGCAAAGGGGGCCTTTAACGCCAGGGAATGGGGGGGGGCTTTGGGGCACACGCCTGCCCTGACCCTCCCCATAACCCCCTCCCCAAACAGAAATGGAAAAATTAGTCCCTCTACGGATCAGATCGCTAAATCATCTCCTGTGTGCAGAAAGGGAGGGGCATGCAGCGTGCTTGGATGCTCAAGGCAGGAGGTTCAAGCCAGATCTGGGGCACCCCCCCTTGAATAATATTTAGGGGAGTCCAGGGAGATGACACCCCCAGAAAGCCAAAAAACAAACAAACACGTGCTACTCTCCTGATCAGACACTGGTGGGATGTTGCGGGAGAAAGGAAGGGGGAAAGAAGCAGTCAGCCACAAAAACGTGTTTTGCGAACCCCCCGCCCTGTGATCTTGATGGGGGCCGCCATCTTAACCCCCCCCCACTTGCCCTTTTTTTCAGGAAGCAGTTTGCTCCTCCAGAAGCCAAAGTGTTCCTGCGGTGGCCATATTTGAGACGGGCAAACCCTCCTCCTCCCCCCCCGACATGCGGGGGAGGAAGCAAACGAGGATTCTGATTGGCTGATCCTGTTGCACGCCGCTTCCTCCTTTTGAACCCTCGCCTCGCTTCCTTTTACGTGCTTGGCTTGGATACAAACGTTGCAAGCCGTTTCCTTCCTTTCCCTTGTTTTTTTTAAATAACGATCCAGTGACTTGGTAACAAGTTTTTCAAAGAGCTGCCTGTGTTCGTCTTTTCCCACATCTATAACAAATAAAAATAAACAGCAAAAGGGTCCAAAATGCATAGCCCAAGAATCAGATGAAAACAACATTCCACATGTCTTAGCCAGACCAGAAAGAAAAAGAACACACAAAAAAGCTAAACACATGAATGTGATAGCATCTTAAAAACCTCCATCCATCCATCCATCCATCCATCCATCCATCCATCCATCCATCCATCCATCCATCCATCCATCTATCTATCTATCTATCTATCTATCTATCTATCTATCTATCTATCTATCTATCTATCTATCTATCTATCTATCTATCTATCTATCTATCTATCTATCTATCTATTGTCAGCTTTTGTGGATTAATCAGATATAGAGTGGAGGGAAATAAAGGCACATGTATATGTACAGCGGAACAAAACAAAATGTTGATTGAGGATTTTTGAGGTTTCAAGAATTTAAGCTAATCTCCCGCCCAGGATCGGACACAGATGAGCCAGCTGTGGGACAACACAATTTTATTAAGAAAAGAGCCAATACAGACAGCTGGGGCTTCTCTCGTAAAGAAAGAGAAGGCCCCGAAAATACAGAAACTAGATACAGATGTGCTGTTTACAGACAAAGCATCATAAACCCCAAAACCGTGATTGGGCGTGATCTCCACCAAGATTGGATCCTTGCCTTAATTGGTGTTTGGGACCTACAGATCTATTGGTCTATTGGTCCCTGGCAGGGGAAGGGGGATGATGGAGACCCCCCCCTTGTTGTCCTTCGGGTCTCTAGACATCCTGGCACCCCAGATGTGTATTCCTAGTCTGTGTTATCCACCAAGTTTGGATCCTTGCCTTAATTGGTGTTTGGGACCTATAGATCCGGTGGCACCCCAGATGTGTATTCCTAGTCTGTGTTATCTCCCTGTTGATGTTGCTCTTCCTGAGGACCAGAGATCTGTTATGTTGTAAATGGGCCTTTTCACACCTCCCCTTGTAACATCCTGCAACATTCCCATGTAGCTGGAGGTCTTATCCTGCTTCTTGAGGTCAGCTAAAGTTCACTCTGTCTCTTTGTGTGCCCATATTCTCTATATTCTAATGTTACTAAATGTGACATTCCTTTGACTCATTCGCAATATTCAATATCTACTTGCTATCAGATACTTTCACCCTGGTTGTGGAGTGCAAAGGTAGCAGGATATTTCTTCCCGGGTCAACCCCTGCAGCAGTAGTTACTGTTTTAGCATGGCAGAACCTCAGATCCATGAGGAATCGGTTCCAAGCCTCCTCGCGGATCCTGAAAAATGTGGATAACAGTGAAAACTATTTTAATAGTGAATGTTATACATAACATGGTCTCTGGCTCCCTCTAGTGGCTATTTTTGATAACTTCCCCTTTAGAAATATTTATTTCTAGGATTTTTCTTTTAATATTTGTAGACAGTGGATAATTGAATCAGCGGATACTGATCCGCAGATAAGGGGGCCCTGCTGTAAAGGTATCACCGCCTTTGGGTAGTCTTTTGAAGAGTCTGACTCATACAAAATATTGTAGGAAGAACTGTTTATTAATGTATATACAGTATGGCCATAAGAAACCTTCACTGATATTTAATCCCTTGGACACAGTCTGGAATATATGGATGAATCTGATTTGCAGCTCTTTTGTAAACATTTTTTGTAGCTGTTTCCCCCCACACAACAGTAACATTCAGGCCATTTATTAAATGTCTTTGCAGACTGAAGTGTTCTAAAACATTTTTTCCCCTTCCTTTGCAATCCTTTCTAATGTCAGATGCCATTTATTCTCCTGGGTCCGGATTGTCCGGTTTGTTCTAGGCAGAGAAGAAATGGGCACTGCTGGCAAACGATGGCGTACATCAGCTCGGTAGATTCGAAAAGTAAAAGTAACACTCTTGTTAGAACATAAGCTGACAGCCCCTCAGACCCCCACCCCACGCCTGTACTTTAAATTTTGAAACACTGGACTCTCTCTCTTTTTTTGGCTGGGAACAGAGGCGCACAGAAAGGATGGCAATCGCTATATCAGATGAGCTGGGATGAGATTTCGTTTACACACTGAGTCAGTTCCTGGGTCTGCTGTAGGCTTGTATGTTCTTGGTTAGCTGTAAGTACTGTGTCTAGTTGGTTTTTCAAGTATCTTTCATAGCCTAAATCAAAACAAAACAAAAGCAGGGAGAGGAAAAAGCCATATGATCCTTGTACACAATCTGAAGGGAAGAGTGAACAAGTATTGTGTGTGTGTTGTCAGATTGATTCTGATTTATGGTGGCCCTTTTCCAGGGGTTTCCAGGTAGAGAATATTCAGAGGTGCTTGACCCTTCTCTTCCACTAGGGGCGCTGTGGGACTGTGCAGCTTGCCCAAGGCCACCCAGGCTGGCTCTTCTCCCAGAAGACACAGTGGGGGGATTCGAACTCCCAACCTATGGAGAAATCTAAATCACTGTGCCAGCCAGCCAATTCTTTCCTTTCCCAGACCACGGAAATCTGTACCACCCTCCGCTCTTTAATCCTCAGCCTCACAAAGGTCCTGCAGCATCCCAAAGCTTGCCTCCCTTTCTGAGGTTTTGAGTCTAATAAAGGTATCCCAGGCTTTGTTTTCAGACTGTCATAGAGAACAGCCACCTTGTCAGAGTTATCATCAGACAAAATGTCTTTATTTATGTATATACACCAGCAACATATCTGGCTGCTTGATGTGGTCTCTCTTCCGGACTTGGGCTGATTGGCCCAAGAACAGGAAGGACGCTTTGCGACTCACCCAGGATTTGAACTGGCATCTCTCTGTTCTAAAGCCCTACACTCTAACCATTATACTCTACTGCCTCCCTCCTCTCCACAGTTGCTATAGAAGAGCCTGCCCACGCTGAACAGTTGTTCCACTTCCCCTGATGTTGGTATTCTGCCCCTATGGAAACGAAGGACAACAGAGTCAAAGGGAGACCCCCCAAACCCCTTACTTTTTGGGGTATGTGTGTGTGTGTTTATGTGTGGACCCTGTACTGCATGGTACCTTGTTAATCCACACACTTTTTGCATGAGTGACATCAGAGGTTTCTTTGTGAATGTTTTTCAGTCTCTACAAAAAAAGTGTAGGCAGCCTGTGTCAGGAGCACAAGATGAAGGAGCAGCTGCTCCAGATGTGTGCAGACAGGGATTGCTGGGATAACCCAGTGCATCCCAGTACGCCCAGTGACAAATCCCTGTAAGGATATTTTTTGGGTGGGTTCTTCACATGGGCAAATTCCACTCGCAGAAGGAAGCTGGTCTTGTCTGGTTGCTATTTTTATTATTCATTGTGCTGATCTTGGAGAATTCTGAAGACCTTTATAACAGAAAGATTCCAAGAACCAAAACTTGCGTACAAAGCAGGAAAAGGACATGCTATAATTGTAATTTCAAAAACCAAGAAAAGGAGAGGGGGTGTAGAGGACCGTCAATAGGCAGGCTGTGACTCCAGGGTCAATTATATATATATCCATCCTCCTGTGTGTGTGTGTGTACATACACACACACACGGTGTTAATACTAGAATTCTTGGAGTCTTTGGGGCGATGACCACGTTGCCTACCTGGGCTCTCTGCTGCTGCAGCTGCATAATAAAACTTTCTTCTTGCATTTACTCAGAATTTGTAGAGTCATTTCTACTCTATGTGGATCTTTCCATAACATCCCCTTCCCCACCTTGTGGAGAAATGGGTTTCGATGGACTCACGGGGGTACCATCCTCTCAACCACTTTGGACGGAAGTGTCTAAGCGGGCAAATGCAGAACCTCCTTGGATCTCCTGTCTGCAGATCTTTCACCCTTTCTCTTTCTGAACTGCACTCTGCGCAAGCTCAGGAGCTCTCCCTGTTGCCAAGTCGAGGTCCGATCATATGCAAGGATCAGGTCAGAGCAGTTTGACCTCATTATTTTCTTGCAACAGAATATGCTGGGACTTCTCTTAAAGGAAGAGAAGACCCCAAAGAAACTTTATACCATAACAAACAAACAAAGTCGTACAAGCTCATCAGTTAAAATCTACTTGCTATTTGGATCCTACATCTAATTGGGTACAAAAGTGAGGAAAGCAAACCAATGGGTTCCCCTCTAGATGTATGGGGGGGATGCCCACCTCCCTGTAATGACCTTCTCCAGAAGAATCTCCCAACTTCCTTATCTTATAGATATGTTCATGTTACCCAGCCGGGTCTCTTGATGTACGGTCTTCGCCGGCTCCCTGCATCTGGACAGCATTCCTAAAGTCGGGCATCTGCTAGTTGAAAATGAGGAGGTGTGTGTGGAAAGTGTAAAATGTAGGCATCTGACTAATTCTGAAGGCCGAGGAGGAGATAATAAGGAAGGGAACATAATACAAAGAATAATAGGGCCTTCTATTCTACTATTCTGCATTCCGTCCTACCCAGGTATCAGAAAGACTTTACTTACTGTGTAGAAGAAAATAGAAGCTGCACTCTGCATTTAGGATTTGAAAATTAATAGGAAGAAAAAAAAGGAGGGGTAAACAGATGTGGAGGAGAACACTTTTAACTGAGTTTTCTGAAGGGTGTCAAGGGTGTGCGTCTCTCCCTATCCTCATATCCCAGACAAAGTTTCTGTTACAAGCAGAGGCCATCATGAGCCGAATAAAGAAAAACAGTTGTTTTTTTTTATTTTCTTGGGGGCTACCAAGAAGATAAAAAAACCGTTTTTCCTTATTTGGCTATCAAGAAAGAAAAAAAGGGGGGGGCTCAGTTTTGAGGCTTATTTCCACCCACCCACTTTTAAACCCAATATTTTATGCCTCCAGGCCTCCTGTTTCCACATTGCCCGTAGCTGCGCCCTTTGCACAATTATTTAGCATGAGTTCATTTTGGGTGTTTCCACCCCCCCCAGCCAAAGATACCGTGAGCACTTCATCACAGACTAGGGGATTTGGACCCAGAAAGCTTTAAAAAATGCCCCCCCCCGCAACAAACATCCTTAAGACCTTCTTTCAAGTCCAGTCCCACCCGCTTGGGCTGCGCTTGCAAAAATATACCCTGGGTTATATATATCCCCCTAGGGATAAAGCTGCTCTTGCAATATAAGCCAAGAAGAATGTGGCTGCAATTAACACAGCGAGGACAAAGCCCATAAGGATAAAGTATTATAGCTAGGATAACGGCCATAATAATAAAGGATAAAATACATTTTGGCTCCCGCTTCACTAAAACCAGAGCCAACGATTCCATGGGTCATCCTGGTGTCCTTTCCCAACCATCTTGGCCAATTCTTGAATTGCTTCATAGTCACACTGGGTGTGCATATACAAAGTTTTTGACCTACAATAATAATCATCAACATTTTTGACCTACTAAGCTACAAGACATTTTATTTTTAAGTTTAGCACCGTTCTGTTCAGTAAAGTGATTTGTCTTACGCCTTACAACTCAAGCGGATGAAATCCAGTTGTAAATCTCAACTAGAGGAGGCCCATTGAGTCAATGGAACTTACAGAGTTACCCGCTGATTCAATGGGCCTCCTCAGGATTACGACTGGCAATAGGTGTTTGGTTCCCTGAGTCCAGAAGTGGTGGCATGGGCTATCATTTTAAGATTATTTCTCTGGTTTTTCTGATTGAATAAGCTACCCACAGACATGATAAGACCATTCCAAAATGTCTGTGAATCTGAATTTATTTATTTTATTTATACCCCACCCATCTGGCCTGTAAGACCACTCTAGGCGGCTTGTCTCCATAATTGTGAAACCCTCCCTTCTGGCAACTGAAGCCTAATTCTAACTGCCGGGTAGATAACAGCCTCTCTCCATCATCATGGGAGATAATAATATAATAATAATGATCTTAGAACGGCAGAGCTGGAAGGGGCCCTATAGATCATCCAGTCCAGCCCCTACCAAGATGGCCCAGGGGGGATTCAAACTCCCAACCTCTGGCTCTGACCTTAACCACTGAGCTATCCAATGGTGCTTATATGCCTCAATTCCCACCTATAAAACAGTGATCTGCTAATTCAGCTTTCATTGAGCCGCTTGGACCCGATCCCACAATACTATCATGTATGAGGAGCACAATCCCATCTCCAAGCGTTATTTGAAATATAACCTTCATTAATCTTCAAGCTCATACTATATTTACCTAGTCCTCAAAGCGAATCACTCCTTCTCAGAACTTAAGATTTTCACCCTGGGAAACAACACAATAACAGAAAAGTTACCCCTTAACGTCCTAGCAGGCTTCGCTTCCTTTTAAATCAGGAGATTATGAGAGCTGCCATTTGGATCGCATTTAAGGCTTCAGGTCCGCTAGGAATTGCCTGGGGCAGGATTCGAAACATGGCCACGTAGGCAATGACAAAACAAATCTATTCTTAATGGTTCTGTCGGTTGTGGATACGGGTTACTTGAGATACAAAGTCCAGAAAACAGGAGCAGACCCAGAGCCCCTTCGTGATGATGTGGTTGGTCAGGTTTAAAATTTCGGGGGAGAGGTTGCTAGCACATCACCCAGAAAAACACTGGTTATTGCGGTGGGGGGGAGAAACACATCGAACGGTCTATTCTTAATGGTTCTGTTGGTTGTAGATACGGGTTACTTGAGATACAAAGTCCATAAAACGGGAGCAGACCCAGAGCCCCTTCGTGATGATGTGGTTGGTCAGGTTTAAAATTTCGGGGGAGAGGTTGCTAGCACATCACCCAGAAAAACACTGGTTATTGCGGTGCGGGGGAGGCTTGAACTGTCATTTGGAGGGCATGGATTTCCATGGAAAGCCGTTGGGCCGGGGTTTTGAAAGCAAGCAGAAAGCCACAGAAGAAAGAATGAAAGAACTGCACAGTCTCCCCACGTCTTCTTCCAGGGTTTAATCGCACCCATAATCGATGGCCATATAATTCTCGGTGTGGACAGCGTGGATGGCGCCGTAGCCTCTTCTTCCTTCCACCATCCGGCCTCTCCCTCCTCCGTGGACTGTGGCTCTCAGCTCTCGAAGGCGCAGCGCCATGAATTCCCTTTCCAGCGTTTCCTCTCTCCTCTGCTTCTTGGCCCAGCAGCTGTCCGCCAGGTCCAGAAGTTCCCGTAAATTTTGTTCCCGCCAACCTGGAGAGACCTGTTTCAGGCGGTTCCGAACCTCCCAATGCAGGCCGTCCACAAACCAACCACCGATGAGACCTTCGATAGCATGGATGGGCTCATCAAATCCTATATATCTCCTCGTCATCTCCAGGAGACGCTCCATGTAATCGGCCGGCTCTTCGCCTTTCTTCTGCTTGCAAGCAAGGATCTTACTCCAGTCACATTTTCTGGGGCAGACCTTGGAGACGGCCTCCAGCAGACGGCGGTGAGGGTCCACCAGCTCTTGCTCAGACCAGCCTGGGTCTTCCATGGGCCAGCTGGCCTCCTCGAAGAGGCGTTTCTGCACATCCCACTCAAGTAGGGCACCCAGCAGCTGCTGAGCTTGGGCCCAAGTGGGCTTAAAGCAAGCCAACACGATCCGAAGCTGTTCCTTAAACTTTTCAGGGTCTTCCTTGATCTCCAGGAGTCTGAGCACCAGTTGATACAATTCGGTGGGCGTCCAGGGAGGCTGCGCAGGAGCCAAACCCACGTCGGGAGTTGGCGCAAGCATTAAGGGCATATCAGCCTTTGGTTGAGCTCCTAGCTGTTCGGTAGGTCTTGACTGCTCAGCTTCTTCCATCCTTGGAGGATGATCAGGAGCAGAGCGACGAGGCCGAGACGTTGATGGGTTTTCCTGCGCTTCCACCCTTGGAGGAGGATTGGGAGCAGAGCGACGAGGCCGAGACGTTGATGAGTTTTCCTGCACTTCGGGCAGGCTTGCCATGGCAGCATCAGACGAATGGGCCGGATTGTCCCGCACCTTATCTTCAGAGCCTAAACTCGGTCGTACCTGGGCAGAATTTAATCTCTCTTTTCGGTCCAGAGAAACCTCTCTCTTCAATTCTTTGATTTCAGCTTGGAGTTTCTCTTGGGAGTCGTGAACACACCTGATCTCAGACTGCCGGAGCCTCGTACTGGTTTCCTCGTACCAGGCAAAATAGGTGACCCACTGGTTCGAGGACACCTTCCTCCTTCTGTGCTGTAAAACGCGCCGGAGGTGATCGATTTTATCCATCTCAAAAGTTCCCTCCAGGGGAAACTCCTTAAGTGGATAACTCTCCGTATAGCTGTTCCATTTCTCCAGAAACTGGCATGTGTGCGGCCCATAACGGTGATACATGTAAGACGCTGGGGTGCCCTCGGGCGGAATACGGATCTCTTTGGACGCTGAGTGGCCCATAATCCACACCACCGCGCTTGCTTTCTCCAAAGTTGGCCGGAATGCTCAGTGGGTTGGAGCAGCAGGACCAGGAGTTAAAATCCTCACCGTGCTGTGCAAGAGAGCCAGCCAGCCTGCGTAGCCCTGGGCAAGCTGCCACGAGTCACAGGATCGCCCTAGAAGAAGGGAATGGGAAAAACACTGCTGAGTAGGAAACCCTGGAAAAGATCGCCACCGTTCGAAATCCATTCGGGTGCTGCCTCGGTTCATTGCCGTTTAATCATTATTTAATAAATGAAATATAAATAAATAAATATCGATTCATTGCTCCAGTCATAGACCATGGCAAAATAAGTTACAATCAGTCAGATTTGACATAAAATAACAGCTAAAACAAGGGCAAGAGACATAATAAATATACGTGCATTCAAATTATTGATCTATTTATCATCATTTAAATGAAATGAAATAAATGAATAAATAAATGAATTTTAAAAATGCATAGATGCAATTATTTGTGTAATCATTATTTATTATACCCTGCCCTAGTGGATTGTGGAGGGTGAAGGGAAAAATTTAGGGGCCCTGGAACACAGTCATGCCTAAGGATTCAGCTGGTTGTCGGTTTTAAATATCGACTCCCCGTGATTGTAAGCTGCCTTAGGACCTTTTTAAGGAGAAAGTCGGGATGGAAACATTTTTAAATAAATAAAAATGAAGAAATATTGGAAAAAAAAATAAAACTAATACATAAAAACTAATCATAATAAATAAGAGCTCCAATTGCGGAGTTACCAAACCTCCCGCCATCATCCGCCTGGGTCGAAAACCAAGGGCCACGGAGCCTGGTTCGATCCTCCCCGTGCCCCCCCCCAACCGCAGACCCGCTCAGGGCAAGAGGCCACTGACCCCAGGGCTCATGTACACGTGTCCCCCTTGCTTTCTCATGTACACTCAGACACGATTCCCCAAGTTTTCACCCCCCTACACACACACACACACCAGCTTACCAAAATCAGGAGCAAATGCCCAAGGGCTTCGCCCTGCCTTTAAGGATTCCCCTTGAGATTCTTTTCTTTTCCCAGAGGGACTAATCCTTAGGGTGAAAACACAATTTACTTTTTGCTGCCTCTCCTCGGTGCTTGCTTAGGTTTCCACACCCATTCATGGCCGGAGAGGGGTTTTGCTTGCTTTGTTTGGTTTTTTGTCCTTTTTTTTTTCTTTTTCTTTTTTCTTTTGTAGCTGGCTCACAAGGCTGAGCAGCCAGAGACAAAACAAGAAAAAGCCATTTCCTGTGGGATCTCCCCTCCTGGCCTCTCTTCAGGGGCTGTGGTTTGCATCTGTCTTATTTTTAAGTTTCTCACAAACAAATGTGCCCAAAAAAAGGAGGGGAGAAAGAGAGAAAGGGGGAGAAAAGCAAAATATTGTAGCATTTTAAAGACGATCAGAGCGATTCCCATGCTTTAAATTGCTGTGATATTTTACTTTTTTATCTTCTTTTTTTACAACATCTTTTTACAATACCTGTTTTCCTGAAAATAAGACATGGCCTTATATTAATTTTTGCTCCAAAAAAACACATTAGGGCTTATTTTCAGGGGATTTTTTTTTTTTGGTCATGTACAATCATCTAAATTTATTCAAATACATGTCATATCATCTTCTGGTTGCTGCACAAGGGTGGAGGGCGGGGTTGTTATGAATAATCGATATTGCTAATGAACAAATTTTACTCACATTTAATAAAGCTTAAGGACTAACGGAAAAGTTTTGCAGCCAAGGTTTGCAGTTTGCAGATGCAATTGCATGAGATATTTTAGGAAACAGCTTTGCTAACACAAAAGAGGAAGGAAGATATTTGGCACAGTAGATGAGAACATACATTGGGACAAGGGTGAAAAACAAGAAGTTAAATTGGGGATTTCAGGGTCAGTTAACCTTGTATAACTTAATTTTATTTATTTTTTAATTTTTTTAAATTTATATCCCGCCTATCTGGTCGGTTAAGACCACTCTAGGCGGCTAACAGCATAAAATAGTATAAAAAATTTTTAAATAGAAGAAACCTTAGGAGAGGGAAAGGAGAGGGCATCAGGAATTGTCTGGAGGGAAGGCCTGCCGAAACATCCATGTTTTTAGTTGATTTTTAAAGATAATGTACTGTGGTATGTAATTTTGATAAACAAGTTGCTGATGAAGGGCATTTGGGGATATTAATCATAATTGTAATCAAGGTGAGAGGGGGGGAGATTTGATCAAGAGGGTGGAACATGGGTGGGCAAAGGAGAGGATGATTTAGATTAGAATGGAAGCCCATAGGCCAATTGGTCGTGGGATAGCTCAGGCTGTTTTGGTATATAACTATATGCTGCTACCTCATTTATTTGGACATTCTTGGGGTTTACCACTTGAACTTCCCCGCTGTTCCAGTGATTCCTAAATAAAGCTTATTTTCTTGCACTTACACCTTGGAAGTTTGTCAGAGTCGATTCTTTTGCTCAGTGGATTTTTCCACGTATCAGGGTTTCACTTAACTAGGGCTTATTTTTGGAGTAGGGCTTATACGATGAGCATCCTGAAAAATCCTACTAGGGTATATTTTCAGGGTGGGTCTTATTTTAGGGGAAATAGGGGAAATAGTTCTAAAGATGAAGTTACCAGAACTGGCCGCTAGCGGACTGTTATGTATAGCGTTCGCTAGAGAATTTTAACGGGTATATATTTCATCTGCTCTTCTCACAAAAAGCTGAACGTGCCTTTTCAGTGGTGGCGCCCTAGTCTCTGGAATAAAATGCTGACAGAGATATGCCAGGTTAAGGCGAGATCGTTAAAGGTGGCCTTTAATAACTGAATGTCCAGGATGCTGTCAGTAATCACTTTTAACAGTAATTATAGGTTTTTATCAAGTTATTCATTTGTATGGTTGTGATTGTCTGTTTTATCACTGTATTTTTTTATATTATGGGGTATTGTAAATTTTAATCTTCTCTATATCACCTATTGTCATGCTTGAACTAATGGGTCCATGTATACATCGGAATAAACAAACAAGCCACTGTCAGCATGATGGATTAGGTGGTTGTACCTTGCTTAGATGGGCTGTTAGATAACTGAAGCCATCCAAAGTAATAAAATTGGTTGCCTTTTAATGTTTCATTTCATGAATCACTACCAGAGCCAGACGCTGGGAGTTCGATTCCCCCACTGGTTCATGAATCACTACCAGAGCCAGTTCGATTCCCCCACTGGGCCTTCTTGATCGGGGCTGGACTCCGTGATACACCGGGTCCCTTCCGACTCTGCCGTTCTAAGAGAAGGAGGATCTATCTGGCACTGTAGTTAGAACGTCAGGTTGTAAAATTCTGGATCCAGTCTCTATCAAGCTGTGAAACTAACTGGATGGTATTTCTTGGGCCCGTTATTCAACCTCTGCTTGTCCCATCTTACAGGGTGGTTGTTATGAGGGTAAAGAAGCAGCCCGGGAGTCGAGCGCCGGCTGCCTTGAGCTTGCAGATAGAAAGGCAAGGTAGAAACAAAACTAACAAACATTTATTTGCATACCATACAGGAGCTTTGCCTGGATTGGAAAAAAAAAACCACATACAACCTGTGCTTCTTTCTTTGAAGAACTGGGGGTGGCACTCAATTCACAGCGGCCTCCGCTGTCATCATAAAACAGCAACCGCACTATTTCCTGACGTACATCTAAGAGAGACCTCCTGGCAAATTCCATCTTGCCAAGAACTTTTGGCAAGGTGAACACACCTGACGAAGTGTTTTTTTTAAAAAATCCATGAAAGCTCGTGCATCGTGTGATGATTTTTAAGCGGTCTGCAAATGTCTCGCCTATTTCTGCATTTGCATTTTTATTTTGTATAAACCACGGGGCTACCCTTTATTTCCATGAAATGTTTATTTGACGTCTAATGTCCTTGAACACTCTTGTTTGCTCACCCTGGGTGCCAGAAATGATGAGAAATGTGTACAAGAGCAAGCTTGCTATATATATATATATAAAAGGAATTGCTGGACATTTTAACACCAGAGTTTTTGACGTCTCCAGTTGTTCACCCCAAGAATCCTGCCAGCTCACCGGGCTGAGCAGAGTTTGTTATCAGAGAGGTGAAGGACAGTGCTGGGGTGTAATCTTATCTCTGGACATTAACCTCCAACATGTCAAATTGACTAATGACGAAAGGTGGGTGGAAATGGATGAAAGGCGAGAAATGGAGTCAGCCAGATTTTTTCTTTGTAAGCCCAAAGCAGGCAAGGGTCCCTGAGAGATTCTGTCATAGTGGTCCGAGGTGGGTTGAATCTGTGGGCTGAACAAGCCAACCACAACCTCGTTCTCTCCAAGAGAGGTAAAAACACAGACCCTCTGAGGTCCTCAGCTCCCTCCCACCCCCTTTCGGCCTCATGGGGAATGTGTTAGGGGCTGTGTTTTTTCTTCAGAATGCAAGAGTAGGCAATACCTTTAAAAAAATCATCACGGAATACGTGAACCGGCATGTGCCAGGGTGAAGAACGTAGAAGTAGACGATTTCAGGGTAAGACAGATTTGGTCAGGAAAGTGACCCCTAAATGCAAAGTCCACAAATTTATGGCTAGATGGATTTCGCCAGGCATAGCTTTCTTAGATGGACGTCTAAGAGTCAGGCTGCATGAGCGCTGTTGTGTTAAAGTCACAGCCGAGGCAGCTGCGGATTTGATCTCATACCCCAGTTCTTCCAACCGAGAAGCACAGGCCATATGCATGAGTGCGCACACACGCACCTCCCCATTTGGCCTTTCTTTGAGATGGACATGTGTTTGCCGTTGACTAGGGAAGAGAGAGAGACACACACAGACAACCCAACTCCTCCAATGTATTTTGAAGAAACCCAGAAATAGGTGAAATAATATACACCCTGGGAGGGCTCTAACGCCATCACACCCCAGACAATGAGACCACCCGGTCCAAAGCCTAAAACAACGAATTACATTCCTGCTTTGAAATGCAAAGAGCAAAGTTATAGAGACACGATGAAAATAAGTTTCTGCTTTTTAAAAAGAAAATTGGCAATTCTAGGACAGTTGAGAAGTTGTTGTTAGATGCCACAAGGTCACCCACAACTTATGAAGACCCTATAAATGAATGACCTCCAAAACACCCTGTCCTCAACAGCCCCCCTCAGCTCTTGCACACTCAAGTCTGTGGCTTCCCTTCAGGGAGTCGATCCACCTCGTATTTGACTCTTCCTCTTTCCCTGCAGCTTTCAACAGTAACCACTGTATTTTTCCCCCTCTCCCCAGAGCTCCTGTTCATTTCTGTCATATGGCCTGTGCAGATTTATTAAATAGGTGTTTAAAAGAAGGATTTGCATCAGGATTGTCAAAACATGGACCACAACTCCCATCAGCCCCATGTAGCACAGCCAATGATGTTGGAGGGGGGGTGATGGGAGTTGTACTTGCTGGGAGGGGGCCGATCTAGCCAAAGCGTCTCCATTCCAATGTTTCAGGTTTCATTTTAATGTTTAACATGAATGCTTGAACGTTAGTTAACCTAAGTCCAGTGAAGCAAAATCCATAGCCAGTGGTCCCCAAGCTTGGGTCACCAGATGTTCGTGGACTACAACTCCCAGAAATCCTGGCCAGCAGCGGCAAAGGCTTCTGGGAGTTTTAGTCCAAGAACACCTGGGGACCCATGGTTGGGAACCACAGCTGGACTAAGGCTGGACTACAGGAATAGCAGATGTTCTGAAGGTAGATGAGGATGTAAAACCCAGTGTCTAAACACATTCAGCATTTATGTTAAGACAGATGGGTTGTTGACGCTGAACAGTTTGGCACAGAATTTCTGCAGGGAAATATAAAATGGATTTCCACCATTTTGGTCGGCTTGATACGATAGCACTTTTGCAAATACTTGAAAGGGGGTTTCAAAAGAGGAAGGGCAGGATCTGTTCTTGATCCACCCAGCATTCAGGACACGTAACAGTGGGTTTAAGCTAAAGGAATCCAGATTTAATCTGAATATCAAGGGTAAAAAATCTCAACTGTTAGAGCAGTATAATGGGACCCATGACCTTGGGAGGTGGTGGGCGCTCCAACGGGCTGGAGGCGTTCAAGAGAAAAAAAATGAGCCACCATCTCTCCGATGCGCTGTGGTTTGGATTCCTGCCTTTAGCAGGAGGTTAGACTTGATGGCCTTACAAGCCCCTTCCGACTCCATTATTCTAGGATTCTATGATTAGTATAATTAGATGCCAAATTGCCTATATTACAGGTCTGTTCTTCTGATGTTGGCTGGAGGCTGCCCCCCCCACCCTTGTGTTTAGTAAAATAGCTTTGGTTTCTGTCAGTTCTGGTTCTTTGACCTCCAACCTATGGGGTCATTCTTGAAGTCCTTTTAAGGACCCAATTTTCCATCCTGGTTATACGACACTGTAATTCTATCTAGCCCAATTTTACCTTGGGGGGAAAAACCTCTCTTGATTTATTTGCCTGTGCAAAATGTTATTGCTGGTGTGTGTTTGTATACTGCGGACGTGGTGGGAGGGAATTTGATCCTTAGACCCCAGGCCTGTTTACCTGGAACTTGCCTTTGTTAGCAATTAGACCAGAGTTTGCTAGAGATAGCGGATGTGTTGGCAGGTTTATGGGAAAGGGGTCAAACACCACCAATGAGTGGGAAGATCAGATCAGGTGAAACAAGCGGTATATAAAGGCGCACAGCCGCTCAGCAAAGCACTTTTGGATGGTGCTGGACGCTGCCTTTTCTTGATTCCTCAGGTAAGGAAAAATAAACAAAACAATTTTGTGGGCAAAACTTTTCTGGAAAGGTGAAAAGGCAATGGGATTTGTGCTTTTTTTCTTGTTTGAGAGAACTACGGTGGCTTTAAGTTTAGAACAGTGTGTCAGGCGGACATCCAACGGGTGCAGCATCTCCTCCCTGGTTTTGGAAAGGATGATGGCCCTTCTAGTCTCAAAGCAATCTGATGGACAGCCAACAGAAGCAGCATTGATGGGGACAGCCCTGGCGGGTGGCCTTGAGTCCCGCTGGCCCCTTTGTGATCTAGCAAGTGATACCTGGAGATGGCCCATTTATGGCTCATTTAATTTACGCTTTTATGTCCTCGTGCGCATTTTGTATATAGAGAGAATTCCTGAAATCCTTTCCTGTCTCCCCTTCCGTGTATCTCCGTCCGCGTCTTGCCTACATCGCGCGCTCTCCGAATCATTAGCGGGATCCTCGTCCGCTTTCTTTGCGATTTGCTCCGGGAACCCCTTCCAAAAAGTCTTTCCCGAAACCCGGACAGGCCCACCTGGTGCGGATCATCCTGGGATCCTGGCCCATTCGGGTCGGGCCTCCGGAGGGGGGCTTCTCGGATGCGATGGGGGGGCTTTCCACTGATGCGGAGCGCATTTCTGAGCCGCTTCCCGGGTCAGGATCCGCTCCACCTCTGATCAAAGCGCGGGGAGAAGATCCATAGTACCTCCCCCCCCCAATTTGGCCGGTGGGACCACAGGATCCCCCAAAAGTGCTCCGCCGTGCGCTCTGGATCGGGGTCCGAGCGCGCCCGGGTCTCCCCATTCAATCCGTGGGGAACGGAGCGCACACCTTAACGCCCTTAGGGATCGATCCATCCCTCCCTGACCACTTCAGGGACGCAATACGATCCAGATGTGTCGCTACCTCTCCCCCCCAATTTGGCCGGTGGGACCCCAGGATCCCCCAAAAGTGCTCCGCCGTGCGCTCTGGATCGGGGTCCGAGCGCGCCCGGGTCTCCCCATTCAATCCGTGGGGAACGGAGCGCACACCTTAACGCCCTTAGGGATCGATCCATCCCTCCCTGACCACTTCAGGGACGCAATACGATCCAGATGTGTCGCCCCCGCTTCTCCTCCTCCTCCGATTCCCTATAAGTGGACCTTGCAAGGGTCTGTCTTCGCGACTGCTGGGGGGTGGTGGTTGGGGTGGCCGGCCTTCCCATCCTCCAGCTGTGGGGCCAGGGAGGGGAGGCGAGGGGGAGCCGTCGCAGGGGAGCGGGATGGGGACCCCAAAGATTTTGGTGCGCCTTCGTTGCCCTGCCCGTCTTTCCCTCTGCCCGCCTTCCTGCACCTCCCGATCTGTTCCAGGAACTCTCCTAGGATGGAGAGGGTCCCCCGAGGCCTCTCTCCAAACCTTATAATACTCAGCAGGAGGAGAAAACCGAGCCATCCCTCCCTGATCCATCCAGGTGTGTCCCCCCCCCGCTTCTCTTGCCTCCTCCGATTCCCTATAAGTGGATCCTGCAAGGGTCTGCCTC